CACTGTTCTCACTGCCAACTTCCTGAAACTGGGTCATGCATTCATCTTCCAGCGTACGGCTTTCTACTGGAGGTTAGTGGGATTGTGACTTTCCTAAACCTCATGTGTAAAACCATAATCTCACTAAGATGCAGTTGAAAGCAGAGATCCACAAGGTGGAAGATGAATGTGTGACCTGGCTTCAGGGCACAGTCATTCTGAACAGTGTGTCTCCCTCACAAATGTTTGTGTAATTTGTATTCAGTATTCATGGAAGCTCAGTTTAGATTGCAAGTTAGACATTCATGTCACATTAAGTATTGCTTACACTCATGTTTTGGCAAGTTCTACCCAAATTAATGAGTGTACCTTTTAGTTTTCCAAATGAATTAAATCCCAAGGTAAAAATGTAGTTTCGGCATAAACCACCATTTGGAGTTTGTATGCATTCTCCATGTTCTCACAGAACACCAGATCAAAGATCAAAACCAATAATTACAATTTTTTTCTTTTCTTGTACTTTGGGGTGTCATAGATTGAAGTGCAATGCTGCTTTCGACTACAGAATGGGTTATCCTGGAGAGCACCAATACCATTTTGTGTCAAGGATTAATTTATTAAAACCAGGAAATGGCGCAGTTCCACTAATCTCCCCAACCCCCAACAGCCCCCACCCTTTTGCACGTCTCTTTAATGCAGCAAATATTTTGGAAATGACAAAGGCTGCTGTTTTGACTTTGCACTGATATCAAGGCCACTGCTCCAATTCTATTCTGAAGCCAAATTGTCATAGACTAGAACACTGACCTTTTCACTTGGATTCAAGTAGCAAGAATCAGCATACAGGAGTGGAAAGGTTATTACTGTTCAATTGTAGCTGGTAAATATACCAAAGTGGAATGCCTGATAGTGTACCTGAATCACAAAAACTGTATTTTCCCTCATTTAAACATTCCGATTTTTTCTCTTCCAGACCTGCTCGGCAAGTAACCGATAGTTTAACTCAGGCATTTGTAAGAATAATACTTTTATGATTAGAAAAGGACATTTCTGGTCAGATTTTCCACAGTGTTTCATAGAATGACACAGAATGTAGAAATGTGCTTTATCTCATTATTCTCAATGTGTGCAAATACTGTATATGCATCATGACTTGCTAGGTTATCCCAATAATTTGTGATAAAATTTCCTCACATCATTTGCTAATCTTAATCGTAAGTTTCCACTGGAATGTTTACTTACCTATATCCATTTATATAACAGTCTCCAACTATTGTAAATGTAATAAAAAGACATTTAAATATTTTCAGGACAATATTCAGCACAAAATTTGTATTAGTGGTGAGATTCATGCTAGCTTAGAGGCTAATACGGTTAACAATAATAAGAGCTGAGCATGAAAACATCCTAGTTTTTTTCTGCCCAGAGCTATCAAACTGAACTTCAAGTGTTTAATTGTTCTTTACATAGTTCAAATGGTTACTGAATATGAATGTCGCTTATAATGAGGAATTTTACATTGTGACAAAATTGGATCTATAGTAATTGAAAATCTTTAATGAATTTCTCCTGATTTATTTTAGCTTACTGTGTATATTTGAAAACAATTTAATTATTCCTAAAATGCAGTTCATTTAAATGAACTGCTTAATTTTCAAACTGTTGCATAAGATTTAAGGTAGAATTACACTTATTTTCATATTGTGCATAATTTAGGGCAGCCTTTCTTCATTAAAGATGCATGGATGGTTTAAATCCCCTATAAAATAGTAAATATTTTGAGCAAAGCTAACCGAGGGAGGGATATTTTTTAGAAAAACACACAAAAGTCTTTAATCTTAGAAATTTGGAACATGTAGTTTAGGAAAGAGCAGGAGATTTGGAATGGTTGAATTTAGGAAGGAATTGGAAGGGAGGGGTTGAAAGGGGAGACAAAGGAAACTGTTTCTAGGGGTCATAAAGATAAGATAGCTAGCAGCAGATCTAAAAGAAAATTTAGGAAAACATATTTATGAAAAAGTGGTGAAAACAAGCAACTCACTGCCAGAAACTAGTGGAAGCAAAAAAAACAGCAACATATTTAAAGGTGCATGACGCAGAAGAAAATAGAGAGGTATAGTTGAGGGGAATAGGAGGGATGGAGACCTATGTGGTGTATAAACTCCAGCGTAGACTGTTTGGGCTGAATGGTCTGTTTCCATCCTGTATCATTCTAAGTAATTTTAAGTAAGTAGTTTTGATTTAAGTATTTTGCTCTCAATGTAATATTCTTTTTTAATTTAACTTTGCATCTGATTTGACACCAAAAAAATCTCCCCTAATTTTTAAATAATTTGGGTGATATCTTTCTTGTTGATACATATCTGATTTCCATCACTAGGATCATGATGTTCTGGTCAATTACAAGCAATTCATTTTCTTCTCAGTTTTTATGAAGATTTGGCTCGGAAGAGAAATATCTGAAGACTGCAGAATTGGATAATGAGAACAATTCTTACATTGCAGCACCTCCTCCCCCCAATTGCCATTATCATTGGACGGGAAGGGGACAAATTAGCAGCCACTCACAAGTGTCTCAGCTGTCAATCAATCACGATATCCCACCCTTGTTCTACTCTGTTCCTCTGCCCCCCTCACTGATTGACAGCTCAACTCCAGCTGCTCTGAATGGCTGGAGTCCGCTGTCAATCGCATGTAGACTCCTCCCATCTATATCCAGGAACCCCCCCCGTGGTTGAATAGACACAAAGAAGGCGCGAATGAGTACATTCAGCGATGACCAGGGTGGCATTTTGCCCAGAGTTATCGAATCTTAAGCCGAATCAACCAGGATATTTAAAACAGGTAATAATACAAATGAATCAGGGGCGGGTGATTTGTTCTATTTACCTGAAGTTTGGGGTTAATCGGCGTCCGGCAAAAGAGGATTCTACTGGATTTATTTAAAAGGTTTGACCCATTTTTCCTATTCTCTGAAAGGGAATTCGATAGAGAAACTAGAAAAACTATCAGATTGTTAAAGTAGATATAAGAGAGTTCGATGACTGAAGGAAAATTGTCAGAAATTAAGGCAGGAATCATTAACCAACATTCTCCACACCCTTGCCCCCATCACCTCCCGCACCCCCCTCCTACTCACACAAGCTCCCTGGTAATCCAGCCACCTTCGCTTTCTTAAATTGTAGATTGTGCCGCTGAACACATCTGGCTTAAATCCAACGGTCCACTGCAAGATTTGGCTGGACCACACTGAAATCTAATGCTCTGCTCACACCTCAGCAAAATCGTCCTTCTTTTACAGTATCAACCTGGAGGTCAAGGACAATCCAAGGCTTCTTTTCTCCACCACCAATCACCTCCTTCGCCCATCTTCCCATGCTCAACAACATCCTCTCTTCCAATTCGAAATGTGAGGAAATAACAAATTTAAGAGGATCCACTCTGCTGCCTCTGCCCCTACCACCCCACCCTTTTCTTTTCTCTTTTATATGTTCCCTTTCAGTGATGTCATTTGCAAACATGAGGTCAACTTCCACATGTTTGCGGATGAACCCAAATCTACTTCTCCTCCTCTAGCGCAGGACTGCTTGCCTCCACCTCTGCCCTTTCACACACTTCCGACCATACCACGTATCGAACACAACTAAAATCCCTATCAATGTATGGATCGCCTCCCGCCTCGATTTTTCCAATGTCCTCCTCGTCAGCCTCCCCAGCTCCACCATTCATAAAATCCAACTGATTCACAATTCTGTGTTTCCATCAGTACCAGGCGCCACACCTCCATCACCCAAATCTTTGCCAGGTTCCATTGGCTCCCTATTGCAGAATGGCAAGGTCCTCACGCTTGCATACAAATCATTTCATGCCCTGGCACATCCCTACTACTCCAACTTGCTTACAACAAGAAATTACATGTATAGCTCACTTCACGTCGGAAAGACCCCATTCCTCTACCTGTTCGCTTTGCTCAGCCTCCGTTACAGCCTTCTGCATGCCCCTTATTCCCTCCACCTTTCAGGAACTCTTCCCCAGGATTCTGGAACCCTCTGCCTCAATCCCTCCACCTTGTTCCCTCGCCCGTCCTCAGATCGCACCTGAAGACCTTCCTCTTCGACTTTAAGGTCATCTCTCCTCTCTCAATGGCTCAGCGTAAACTCTGCCACTGTTAAGCGCACCGAGACCTATCCTCCATGAAGGGTGTATATAAATGCAAGTTGCTGTTATGTTACTTAAGAAAAGATTCATTACCGAATCGATGGTTATTTCTCAGGTTTCAAAATTACTTTTTTTATATAAAAAATAAATAGGATTTTGCTATACAATATTCAGTGATGTGAGCTAAAACTGAGATATATTATGTACAATTATATGAAATACATATTGAATCTATTTTCCATCTATGTGCCTGCAAAACCCTAAAACAATAACTGCAGTTTGTCCCCTACTGATCATATCACCAAGCTAGATGAATCAATCCAAGTGTACCTTTTTATTGTAGACCAGAAATCATTGCAAAAGTGACTACCCACTTTCTCAGGAGCAGAAAAAACATGGGGGTTGTAGGGAGAATTATAATAAGAATAATGAATGAAGCAAGAAAACCTGCAATATACTCTTAACAAACAGATGTGTGCTCTTCAGAAGAAAGTACACTGGATTAAATGACCAGTCATAAAAAAACAGATAATTCTTTAAGCAACAAAACACAAAATTCTAAAAAGTTTAAATTTAAACAGAAAACCAGGACAAAACATTTAACTAAAATAAATAAGATACTCTAACCCCAAATAAATATTCCTTATACTGTTTTGCTTTCAGATCAGCGTGCTGTAAATTTAAGTTCTTTCAGTTATGGGTTAATTAGCTCTTGGAATTGCCATTACCTTCTGCAATACTGATATGTGCTTCTTGTAAACATAAAATGTGATAAATAATGCACACAAATCGTATATTTTCACATTTGTTAAACTACATATAATTTTATTTACATCAATATCAACGGATTTAAAAAGACCAACCTGGAAGCTCTTCATAAATATCATCGTCTATTGGTTCTTGGTTGGTTTGGAACGTTTTAACATTTGTGTCCACACTTGTATCTACATCATCATACGTTTCTTCATCATCATCATCTACTGGGATCATACCAGATTCTCTGTCTATTTATAAAAACAAAGCAGAATGTCAAACATACTTGATATGATATTTTAAGCAAAAAAGTTAAAAATATAAATCAATTCAGCTCAGTGCTTAGCATATTCTAATTTTGGGATAAGGGTAGTAGTGGCAGAAGTCCATGAAGAAATATGTTTGGTGCTCCTGTTTGAATATTTCATGCTATGGTAGAAATCAACAAATTTGATGAGAAAACAACAACTTGTAGAAGGAAACATAGGGAAGAAACAGAAACATTTTCTTCAGAACTTTCCTTAGGATATTCTTCACTACAAAACAATAATGCAGAGACCCAAGCATTGAGCTTCAATGGTATCTTGTCTCTTTTTGTAACCCCGATGTGCAAATGAATTAATTGGCTGAGGTTTATATATTTGATAGAATGTTGTTCAATTTACTTTACTTTGGTCAGAAGTGTAGAACAACAATTTTTTGTTTTGCCAACAAAATATACAGTCAGTTCACTTTACGGGACATTCTGTGAAGCGCTTTGAGATGTATTGAAGACTTGATAAGGCGCTATATCAAATGCAAGGATGATTATTAGATAACAACACATTAGATTTGTATAGCGCCTTTCACATCGGGAGACCGTCCCAAGGTGCTGGGCAGTTAGGGATTTGGAATTCAAAGTACTAGCTTCTAAACATGGAAGCATGTGTGGCAGCTGCAGTGAATGGGGCCACAGAGCAATCGTGTTATAACTGAATAAACGTTGATGATGTGTGCTTGTAATGTGGATATTCCCATTAGAAATATATTCCGTATTGTCAGTCTTTACAGCAAGAGGAAATTCATTCATCCTGTAAATTTCAAACAATCAAACAAAGTGATAGTAAAGTAAAAATAATCCTTGTTTGATAATAGCATCATTCATGTCAAGAAGACATGCTTCACAGGATTTACTTTAAGGTGGAAGGACTGTATTTTTGTGAAGGTATTTTATGTCTTCTTTAAAATTATTTTTGTTACACTCAATAACATGATCAGATGTTGTTTGATTTTTCGTTAATGCCACTAATTTTAAAATTGTTAGTAAACTGGCCCATTCCAAGATGGGTATTAGGGAAGAGGGTATCTGTGGAAATGAAGGAGGGTCTTTATGACAAGGTAAAGTATACTTTGCGAATGAATATCTGTCTCTGCGTGTCTTTCTATCCCTCATTTCTTGTCTCAGTTCCTCTCTTGGCCTATCCCACCTCCCCTCCTTGCTCTCACTGTGTTTTTGTATCCATCTTTCTATCTGCCTCTCTCGTCAGTCTTTTCGTGTCTTTGTCTAACCCGCTTTGCTGCAAATTGTCTCAAACATTTGTTTTTTCCCCAACAAATCTCTTCACTCAAACTCTTATCATTATTATACTGAGTCAGTCACGCTCCGAATATCCCCAATATATTTCTTGTGTGTGATACTCACTGTATCTTGCCTTCTAGCTCTCTCTACTTCCCACTATCACTCAATTTGTCATCTGCTCCTCTTTTTTCTCTCTCCTTTCCCTCATATTTGTTCCCTCTCTCTCCCTTCCCCAGTGCCCTACTTCCCTTCCAATCTCCTTCACTTTCTTCTTCTCCCCTCTTTCTTCCCTTTTACACATACACACATGAACTTCCTCTCATTCTTCTCCCTCGCTCTGTTCTCTCACGCTTCATCTTCTTCATGGTATCCACTTGGCACCTTCCACAGGCATGACATCCAATTTGTGCTGAAAACTACTTTCTGCACACATTCAGAAGCAAGAGTCTGTGAGTTGGGGAGCAAAAGGTCCTTATGGTGCAGTTGCTTTTGTCATTTTTCATCATTGGCAAACATCAAGGGTAAAGAGAGCCATGAGGGGTCTCAACTGAAGTGGTAAGAAAGGTCACTAAACAGCAGGACCAGGCCTAGGATTTGTGTTTCCTTGGGGCTTTGAAGACTAATTTAGTTCATGCAAATTTAGTTTTCAGTCTGTTACTGCAGATCGTTAAGCCTTGGAATGGTTTAAAATCTGGAAGCAAGATACTGTACATTTCTTGTATCAATCATTACAGTGGAAATGCGTGACGGCTGACTTTTAGACTTAGCCAAAGCAAAGGGTTGGCCAGGCGGGTGTTTGATTGACAAGAGTTCTTTGAGGGTTCTCCAGAAAATTCTGGGCTAGAATTCTATTGGGTCTAAACCCTTACAAAATAGGTTCTGGTATTGTAATTGCCATCCAAAGAGGGAGAAATCTGAAAAATGGATGTGGCCTCCACTGAAATTATATATAAAGATGCTAAAATATATTTCTTTTTGAAAGCAGTTCCAAAATGGCCATATTCAGCCAGATTAACCCTCCATTAGAAAATCTTTCCATTTAACATTTAGAATAGCAAACTGGAGTTGCTAACTTCACCACGTGAAACGCTTAAATATTCAGCTTTCACATCTAATTTAACATTTACCTTTCAATACAAATTGAAGCTGTTCAACCCATTCTTCAGCTTCTTGTGGAGTAGCTGCAGCAAACTGAAAAGTTAATAATAAAAAAATGAACAGTAGTAGAGATCTGAAATACCTGTTGTCTCGGAAATTTGTGTTTCACATCTTCAGCTGTTCTTTTCCGTGCAAGGATGGTATGTATGGTTAATTTAGACAAATTTACGTAATTGAAGCAATGGATGACAGAGTTGAAATTCTGAACAGCAGCTGGCAACTGTGTGAAATCTGCTGCTCTTCATCAATGTCAAGTATGAAACTGATGAACAAAATTTACCCTTGGCAATTAAGAAACATTGGTGATTTCCTTTAAACTGTTTTTACAACCCTCCAAAAACGTCATTGTCACAATCAGCCACTCAACATGACAACTTAATGAACTGGCTTTCAACAGAGATCTTAAATGTAAGAACTTATTACTCTAACAGTCTATATCATTACTGACTGATTGAAATATTCCATTAAATTTCTTGTCTACATTGGTTGTCACTTACTTGCAATGTAAAGGATTTGGTACTGTTCTGTTAAACATGCCACAAATAATTAGCGAAAAGTGTGTTGGTCTATCGGCCATAATGATTCTATACTTTGGTACGCAACTGTTCAAAATATTTCTCTTCAGGAAACTGTTTGATAAGAATACAATGAATATTAAACGTGACATTTCCCAAAGTCCCACTGCTTACTACCAGTTGAATACAATGGATCCCAGGGTTATTTGAAACTTGACCACCTTTCCTAGCAGAAGCACGTTACTTGACACCACTGATTCAGGTTTGTGGAAGCTAGCACTCACACAGAAGCCTAATACAGTATTTGGCAACTCAATAAACAAATTCAAATTGAGGATTGTGAAAATATCACAACTTGTTAAATACTAGTATAAATACTTAAACTGAATTCTATTTGAATAACAGAAAACAGCGACATTTTCCCTTGCAAAATGTGGGCAACCGTGAACAGTAATAATAATAATAATCCTTGCATTTGATATAGCGCTTTTCACGTCGGGAGGACGTCCCAAAGCGCTTCACAGAACACACTGTAAAGTGAATTGACTGTATATTTGTGGGCGAACGCGGCAGCCAATTGCGCACAGCAATGTCCCACAAACAGTCGTAGATTGAATATGACCAATTTAATATTGTTTTTGGTTTTTGGAGGGATTATTATCAGGCATGTGGAGTAAGGAAACTTGCCCAAGGTTTCGCCCTCTGCCTGGAATTGAACTCAGGTCTGTCACTTGCAGAGCGAGTGCTCTAACCACTGAGCTACAGGACTCCATTAAAATCAACCCCCAAATTACAAGAGATTGTACTGTTAGTTTTGTATAGTTGCCTCTCCTCTCATGTAAGGACATAGATTGGGAGAACTCTCATAAAATATCATGGAACAACTATTAAACAGCAACTTGTGATACATTTATAGTTCTAAAGATGTGCAGTATTCCAGTAATTTATCACAAAGGTCATTCTTTATATGAGTTAATGTCAATGCGCATGTCACAATTTCTGGTGATAGAACAACAGAAATTTATTACACAGTAGGAGGCTATTCAGCCCATTTTATTGCATCAGTTTTTACTCTTCCAAGAAGCCATCCTTCCTAATGCTTCCACGTTCCCTGTAATACTCATCCTATGCATATGCTTGTCCAATTATTTTTAAATACAAAACACAGCTGGCAGATCAATCCATACTCTGACAACACTCTGGAAGAAGTTCTTCTGAGCCTCTCCTTTTACTCCCTTAGATACTCATAGTTTCATGCCCTCTTATCCTCATATCACGTACCAGTGAAAGGAATTTTGCATGATTAATTCTCTCAAATGCTTTACAATCTTAAACACCACTGTCACATCACCTCTAAACTTTCTCTGCTTCAATCCTCACATCTCTAACCTTTCCGCAGAGCTATATCTTTGTGAAGCTGTGCTATTGTAATATATTTTCTATCATGTGCCACTGACAACTGAGCACAATATTACAGATTTGGCCTAACCAAACTAATATATCATCAGATCTTTCTTTTATATTCAATGACTCAATGATTCAATGTATACTATTGGCCTACCGCCATTCTGCCCCCACCCTCTGGAACTCCATCCCGCAGTCCCTCCCCCTCGCCTCCTCCCTCGCCACCTTCAAGACCCATCTCAAGATACTCCAGTTCGACCGTGCTTCAAACCTGACAGAATTCTGTCACTCAGAATATAGGTCCGCTCAATATCCCTTCTCCCAAAATGCACCTAATCACATTTTTTTATTTTGAACATTTTTCTACAAATTTCCCAGTTACATTTTGTGTTCGTATGCCTCTTTCTTGCTCTTTATATTTTGTTTAATTTCCTTATTTATTCACTGTGTCCCTACTATCCTGACTACTTTTTTTTTACTTTTGGTATGTATTTTACCGATTCCACCTTAAAAATAACCCATTGGCAATCTGCTGTCATAACTGACTTTTCTACTCAGTTTATCTGTGCCAACTCATATCATTCTCATACCAGGAACCCTGCTTGTTCTTCTCCCACTCCCCCGCACCACCACCACTCACTTCGCTATAAAAAAGCAAACGTTCTGTCTTGTATGAGATTGCCTAATTGAATACTAACTAATGAATCAGGGCATTGTCTGCCTCAGTAACACATTATCCATACATTTATACAATGAGGCATATCAGAAGAGCACTAAACATAATTTTTTTTATTAATGTGAAGTATTTTAATATTTCAATCACACTTTTGAAATTAATTTTGCTATAAAAATCAGATGAACAAAAAGGAAGCAAGACATAGATGAAGCAAAATCGAGTCTGAACTCATATTGTTGAAGACGTAATGGATTTGCTTCATGTTGACAACAACAACAAAATTACATTTATAGAACGCCTTTCACGTCGGGAGGACGTCCCAAGGCGCTGAACAGTCAGGTGTCAGGACCCGAGCCTGGGGAGGGGTGGTGTAGGGGTGAGGGAAGGCAGAGAGGTGGGAGGGCGACCGAAAGCACGATCGAAGAGAAGGGTCTTGAAACCGGCTTTGAAGGAGGCAAGGGAGGAAGCGAGGGGAAGGGACCGTGGGATGGAGTTCCAGAGTGTGGGGGCAGAGAGGCTGAAAGCCCATCCACTGATGGTAGGGCGGGTTGGGCGGGAGACATGGAGCAGGCCGGAGCCCACTGAACAGAGGGAGCGGGCAGGTTGGTAGGGAATCGAGGGAGCGAGCAAAGTTCCTTAGAACAATTCCCAATAAGATGTAGGGCTTTATGTAAACTTGAATTAACCTGAATTTGGTAATGTGTGTCTCATTTGACAGCTACAACTAGTGATGAAGGAAGTGGTTCATATTTTGCTGACCAAGACAAAAAGTGCACATGTAAAGTCAAACCTGATAAAGTCGTTTCTCAGGCGCACAGAGTTCAAAACAGCAATCTTTCTTTCCATCTTTCCGGAGGCTGTTTATCAGCTGCACTATGTATCCGTCTATGGCAAATTCACCTTTCTGCTGTTTATCTGTAGAGGTAGAGGCATATTTATCTGTTTTAATATATCAAATCAATTGGAAGGGAAAACAACAATAGAAAATGAAAGACCAGATTCAAACTTCCAATTAGCACTTTTATTGCATTTTAAAGAAATATAGATTTGCACAGGAGTGAATGTTACATGTCTTGCACATCCCAGTTTCTAAAGTAATCTAATCCACATATGAAAAAATGATTGGCTCGATGGGTCTCTGGCCAAAAGATTAAAATATCTTGCACAGTACTGCCTCAAGAGTCAATGTCATCCCTTTAATAGATCTACCTGATAGACAATTTCAAGGCTTATATCACCGAAAAAGCAGACACTACCGTTGTAACACTTTTTTTTAACCAGATCAAGCCTTCCACAACCCTTCAACCAGCATAACGTAAAGGCCTATGATAAAAGAAAGGCATATGGTACCACCACTGTCAGACCAGGAGATGGGTTTCGAAACAAATGTCTAACATACACAGTAATAAGGAGTTGTGAAATAGTGTTTATAATCCCAACGAATAACACTAACATAATTCATTTGTGATGTAAGCCCATTTGTGGATTATAAAGAGATATCCAAAGTTATTTCGTTGTTTTTATGATACTTTTTGATATTAAGAAATAAAACTTGAACACTAACACTACAGTAAGGGTTTTTTCTGCAAAATGTGATTCATCTCAACACCACAAAAACAATGAAGACCAGATGTAATGGGGGTTCAACAGGTTTTGGTGTCAGCCTGGCCCAATTGGTATTCTCAGCTTTGAATTAGAAAGTTGTGGGTTCAAGTCCCAAGTCAGGACTTTAAAACTCGTCATCTAGGCTGACACTCAATGCAGTGCTGGGGAGGTGCCATTCTTTGAATTAAATGTTAAAACCGAGATCCTGTTTGCCAGTTTAGGTGGACATTAAATCCCCCAAACAAAAAAATGTTCATTCACATCCCAAATGTTATTGGGACATTGCAGTGCGCAAATTGGCTGTCATTTGCTTATAAAATACAGTTGCTACACTTTACAGTAAATCTTGTGAAGTGCTTTAACACATCTCAATATGAAAAGTGCTATATCAGGAACACCGATTATTATTAATATAAGGGAGAAGAAAATAGAGATATAATGAGATGAGATTCACTTTTAAAGAATTGATGTTCAAGCCCCTTCAGTCGCTCCGCGACGATACCCGTGTAAATACCGTGGCTCTAAATAAATGCAAGTTGTTGTTGCACTAACTTTGTTTGATGAATTTCACTGCTCTGAGGAGTTGAGATTTTGAAAAGCAACAAACAGCATAGTAATTAGCGCAACTTATTTATATTTTGCAGTGGAGCAAAACAGTTACCTTTTTCAGTTCCATAGTAATAGAAAACATTATTGCTAAGTGCACACCAACGTTTCTGCCATTCAGATCCAAAGAAGCTGTGATCTGCAATAAAAACAGGGTATAATTTATACCACACAAAAAAAAACTACCTGGATAAAGTCCTAAAATATGTATAGTTCAGAAATATTTTTACATTGAAATGCAATGTAATTGAAGAAAAATCATCATAAAAATGCAACCAGGTAGGAGAAACACTATGTACAATCTTATTCCCAATTGATAGTGAAGCAAATTCAATATAAATTTATAGGTACATTGCATACAAATAATGAATTAATGTAAAAGTGCGAACATAAAAAAGCATGAAAAGAGCAAAGACCATTCAGTCAATTAGGCTCACCCCACGCAGAGCTACTCAAATCGACTGATTACACACCTCACCTTATCATTTTATATCCTGGAGGGAAGAGATATTTTATAGATACTCAGTGAACAACAACAACAACAAAATGACATTTATAGAGCGTCTTTCACATCGGAAGGACATCCCAAGGCGCTGAACATCCAAAGACATTCAGAACTCTAAAGAGAAATCAAACCAATGCAGGATATTCATCCATTAACACATTTCCCAAAATAGGTACTTAATCTGTTCTCTTTCTTTGATGCTATTAATCAAGACTTTCCAAAAAGAGCATGTTTAGCTCTGGGAACCTCTGCATTATAATGTGCTCTAAGCTCCAGAATCATCCTATTGCACCCAGCTAATATTTGAATGAACTAACGAAGATCAAATTTATACATAATACTCCAAACATCACCAAACCAGTGATCTATATGAGATTAATTTATTTTCCTTAAACAACTTCAAGATGCAATGTAGGTATTTGTTTAGCTTTAGTGACAAGAGCTTCTGGACACAGTTTGCCAATAACACCCAAACATCTTTTTCTTTTTGCTAGTAAAGGACATATGGTGAATATATTTACTGGGGTAAAGTTTACAATGTTTTAAGTCCGTCATTGTATTAATGTGTGTCTAGCACTGTTAACTTACACTGGAATAATTCGCTACTATGTGGCAATGTTTCTTACCCAAAAAATGAATGCTCCCTAAAGATCTGGAATGCTGCCTATTTTTAATTCCTGAAGCAAAGGTGAATGCAATTGTAAACTATAGCCTGTAGAATAGATTTTATTGGTTATTATATATTTTCCAGTTTGTTTTAGCAAGAAGGGACACAATCTTTCCTCTCATCGCCAAACATGAACAATAGGTGGAGAGATCCCTTTAAGAGACAATAACAATCAATTAACAACTAACGTAGACTACTACAGGAAATATAAACGGCCCCAGGGAAAGGAGCACTCGCTGTGATTATTGGCGTAGGTTTGAATAAATCCAGTAATACATCAGCACATTGAATACTTATTACATAATACACCAGAAGGTTAGACCAATGTTTCTTGCTACAATATCCATTACCTTGGCCCTAATTAATTCAGATATTCCTCATGCCCACACTGACTCTTAGTATTTATATAAAATCTGCTATTGTATATGTCAAAAGATACACCATAAAATAGTGTTCAAGGAAGTGGCAAGTAAAATTAAAATAATAAACACCACAACATGAAGTTAAATATTCTGCTGACCAGACAACGCAAATGTAATTTTAGTTTGAATTGCAAAATAGCAGATACCCAGTCCTCACTTCACACTATCCTCTTCATCTCCAACTCTACAACCAAAGTTCTTCTATTAAAATATCCGCACTACAGTAAAGATATGCAGTACTTTGGGCTTGTATAATGATCTACAATAAATACAAGTTGCGCATATCTTGATGGTTTTGTTGCACCAATACTTTGCGAGAAATGCTGTTCAAGACAATATATTCTGTTCTTACCTTTCCGCCGCTTTTCCAAATATCCAGTTTTCAGGACCTGGGGTAGTTCCTGTGCAGGTATTGGAGGGGCTCGCTGAACTAAACAAGAAAAAATGCACATTGTAAGAAAACTGCTGTACCCTTCATACATGCATTGTGTTTTTACCATTATACATCTGCTACCTGCGTGAAGTTTTTACACCAATCGTATTGCTCACCTCCTAACTCATAAAGGCGGTCTCCCACCCTTCATTACTCCCGAGCTTATCCTTGAATCACGGGAAATGACGTCTTTATCTGTCGACGCATGGATACTTGCCGGCCGGCTATATTGAATCGCGGGAAACATAGTCTTCATATCTCGATGAATGCACATAGGAACCTCATTTTCTGCAATTGAATGAGATTCCAACGTATGCCGGTAAGTGGCATGCGATGACGGGTGAAGCACTGAATGTAGTCTCAGCTAGTCACTACATGTGCACTTCCTGGCTGCAGTGCCAAACTACCGCAAGTACATTTACCGGCTGGATTAAATTAAGCATGTACAGTATAGATTATTGATTAAATCGGATTTTCTACAACTTCTACATTTTGCCTGCAACTCGGACTTTGCATAATTCATATTAAATATTATGGTCCCAACTGATACGACTTATGTGAGTACAGGTATTAGCCAATCCATGGAAACAAGAACTTGCTTGAAGAATCAGATTTGAAATGGAACAGCGGATAGGTCATCTCTGCTTTCTCTAAATTGTCCTTTTATTACACTTTTTTCTCTCAATTGTATTTTCCCCTTCAATTTAGTGCTTAGGGCACCTGTTCTTCAGTATATTTTGCACGTTTCCTATATAGTTTAGTAATGTCTCTGGACTAGTCACTTTGAATCTTAGATTAGGCTCACTGGAACACTATATAAATCATAAAAATACAGAAGATAATCAAAATGGACTAACAATACGGACAGATATAACATTATCCAGAAAGCCAGTGAAAATTGACGCTTACTATATCAATTATACTGTTAACATTTTAACATTGCAACAGTCATGCAGAACATTTACTGAATCTTGTTACAGTATTAATTTATTTTATGAAATGTGACATTGTACATCTAATAAAACTTCAAAATTAAGAAATTTTTGATACTGTCATAGCAGATTCTGGACTTCAGCACTTCAAACACAATCTAGTGAATTCTGCTTGGATACAGAAGTAAAGTGAAGGTGATTTAAGATATCACTATTAAACATTCCATTCTGACAGAGCTATACTAAAATGTTCAAAACTATTAGAACTTTTAGAAATAAATAAGCAATTGCTCTTCAATTTTCATATCAGATGTTGTTTAAATTGATTTGAAATGCTATTTGTTATTTCACTGTAAACGACTGATGTTATTGCTTTATTGACTAAGTACAGATGATATGACAAATCCACTTAAATATGTCAGACACACTGAATCATGAGGTAAAACATTACTTATTTTATAGTATTTGGTTAGTGATCACCTTTCAGATGTACTTTGCAGATTTACCAGCTGCAAAAAATGATCTTTAATGAAAATACAAGTCTATTTTCAATATTATTTAAGTACACTCAATTTCTGAATATGAAAGATTCTTCAAATTATCTGCTGTGCTGCTGATAAACTGAATTCAGACTACGTGGTGACTGTTGTAGACACAGTTTGAACAAGGATACATTTTAAAAAATGAACAGAATTTGATTATTGTTCAGTTAGTTGGATCAATCAATGTTTAATGACTTCTTTAAATAAAATGAAATAGTCATTAAAAATAGCATTTATTTAAAAAAAGTCTATTAGAAACTATTAGAACTACTTCCACCAGAAAGATAATCACGTAAAACAACAGATTAAAATGTCCTTGTTTTATTAATGAAAAATGAAAATTTAGTATTTTGGTTGTCTCTAACAAAAGTAAAAACAAAAAAAGCCTAAAATAAGTTCATTTATATTATACAGAACTGTAGCAGCAGCATCAGCTGTGATTGAGATGTGAAATCATGCTGTTGAGGTGGCCCAAAGCCATAAGAACATGAGGACAAAGCAGGCAAGAAGCAAACACCCAATGGGTCTGCAGGTCTCACTGCAGATTGGCATCAGTTCTGTTGTTCTGTTTGTCTCAAGCAAAGCTATTAGAAATATTTCTCAAACAATTAGTTTCCCACAGAAGCGAATAGATTCAGATACAAACCGGATAAAATTATCCAGCATAATGTCTCACATATTTAAAGTAACAGAATTTCAATCTAGAATTGCCACTTGGCCAATTTTTGGCCGACATTCACAATGTCTGTTGAGATAAAGAAGGCCCTTCGACTCATTTGATCTCCTTCTAGAATACCCAACTTACCATCCTCCATCACAGCATCAAGCTGTTGCTTAAATAAGTCCAGCATTCTGTCCTCAACCACCCTCTTGGCCCATTCCAGTCATTAATTACCTCCTGGGTAAAGAAATAATTCCTGCTATCCGTCCCGAAACAACCCCTTGTTACCCTGAACCTATGCCTCTTGTTATCTTGCTTGGGTGGGGGAGGGGGGGCAGGTAAGCGGGGCCTCCTTGGAGCTGAACTGGCTCCAGATGATATTCTTGGCAATGGATTGTCGGAAAGCCAGCCCTCTGTGGCGGTTTTAGTAGTCCACTTCCTGAGCCAGTGGGTCCGGAGCCTTCCAAAGGCACTGCTGACGACAGCACAGCCAACCTGGCTCATTGACAGAACTTGAAGGGCAGACCAATCACTGGGGACAGGCAATCATCTTTTTTTTCATAGAATGTTATGGCACAGAAGGAGGCCATTTGGCCCATCGAGTCTGTGCCGGCTCTTTGACAGAGCAAGTCACTTTCACTAACCCCAATCACCAGCTTTCTCCCCATAACCCTTCAAACCCGTCTTCCCCAGATACCTATCCAGTTCTCTCTTGAAAGCTGTTATCGAATCGGACTTCACTACCCTTTCAGGCAGATCATTCCAAATTCGAACAACTCGCTGAGTGAAAACATTTCTTCTAACCTTCCCTTTGCTTCTTTTGGTAAATATCTTGAGACTGTGACCACGGGTCACAGACACACCTACCAGCGGAAACAGCTTTTCCTTATCTAGCCTGTCGAAACCTTTCATGATCTTGAAGACCTCTATCAGGTCCCCGCGTAACCTTCTCTGCTCTAATGGGAAAAGTCCTAACTTCTCCAGCCTGTCCTCATAACTAAGGTTCACCATTCCTGGTATCATTCTCGTGAATCTCCTCTGCACCCTTTCCAGTGCCTTAATGTCCTTCCTGAAGTAAGGTGCCCAGAACTGGACGCAGTACTCCAGCTGAGGCCTAACCAGTATTTTGTATAGATTAACAATAACCTCCCTACTCTTATACTCTATGCCCCTACTAATAAAGCTCAGTACACCAAATGCCTTTTTTTACTGCCTTATCTACTTGCTCCGCTACTTTTACTGATTCGCTTACTTGAACACCCAGATCTCTCTGTACGTTCACCGCCCCTTAAGATTGAGCTACCAAGTCTATATTGCCTCCTATCATTTTTCCTACCTAAGTGTATCATCTCACACTTATCCACATTGAAATCCATCTGCCACATGTCAGCCCATTCCACCATGCTGTGTATGACTGCTTGCAGTTGGTTACAGTCCTCCTCACTATTTACTACCCTACCTAACTTTGTATCATCTGCAAACTTGGAAATAGTGCTCTCTATGCCCAAGTCCAGATCATTAATATATATTAGAAAGAGCAGTGGTCCCAATACCGATCCCTGGGGGACACCGCTGCACACCTCCTTCCATTTCGAGAAACACCCATTAACCACCACCCTCTGCTTTCTGTCACTCAGCCAGTTCTTAATCCAAACTGCCACTGTCCCCTTAATACCGTGGGCCTCTAATTTTTGGATTAATCTCTTATGCGGTACTGTGTCAAAAGCCTTTTTGAAATCCATGTAAATAACATCCACCGCATTTCCCTCATCAACCCTCGCAGTCACCTCTTCAAAAAATTCTATTAGATTTGTTAGGCAAGATTTGCCTTTAACAAATCCATGTTGGCTGTCTCTAATTACCTCATGTTCCTCTAAGTAGAGATTTATTCTTTCCCGAATTATGGTCTCCAGTAGTTTTCCTATTACCGAAGTTAGATTGGCCTGTAATTTCCGGGTTTGTCTTTCTACCCCTTTTTGTAGAGGGGGGTAACATTAGCCACTCTCCAGTCTCTTGGCACCACGCCTGTGTCCAATGAAGATTGAAATATATTGGCCAAAGCCTCCGCTATTTGAACCCGTATCTCCCACAGCAACCGTGGGTGAAATCCATCTGGTGCTGGTGACTTATCAATTTTGAGCCCAGTCAATCTTTTCAGAACTTCATCTCTGTCTATAGTAATCTGATCTATTTCCTCTACCCTCTCATCCAATACTGAGGGATTTGGGGCATCCATTTCCGTTGTGGAGACAGATGCAAAGTACTTGTTCAGTACATCAGCTATGCCCTCTGCCTCCACAACAAGATTGCCGTCACTCTCTTTGATTGGCCCCACCCTACCTTTAACTAACCTTTTTTCCTTTATGTGCTTGTAAAATATTTTAGGATTCCCCTTTATGTTACCCGCTAACCTCTTCTCATGCAATCTTTTAGCCTGTCTTATCACTCTTTTAAGATCACTCACTCAGCAACTGTTAACCCTGCAAGCCAAAGCCCTAATGGGTTGGGTGGTTTGGATAATCTTAAGCATGGTGAGGGTTTTCTGCATATGTCAGACAACTGCTGACCAAAAATATTTTGGGGGGGTTACTTTCTCATTCCCAGTTTAAGAATATTGCAGAAAGCTTCCCGATGCTTGTACGGCTAGGACCACCCTATCTGTTAAGAGACTTTGACTTACTTACAGGGTTAATGGAAGCTGAGTGAGAAGAATCCACACCCTCATCTGCCTCTCCAAATCCTACCATGTTATAAATCACTGGTGTGATCGCACTTGGAATACTGTGTGTAGTTCTGGTCACTGCTACATAAAAAGGATATTGCAGAAATTGAGAGGATACAGAGGAAGGCAACCCAAATGAT